AAGTAAGAGAAAATGAGGGGAAAGCGGTCAGCACTTATGAGTAGTATTTTATTTGGGGATACTATGGTACCCAATATAGAATAAGATTTTATCCTCCTTTTGGGGTATAGTATTTTTTATAAGGAATATTATCTTACTAGGTTCAACCAAAAAAAACGCTACTCATGTGCCGTCATAGGGCCCTTTTTCCCCCTTTTTGGTGGCCAAACTCTAGGGTTTAGGGTTCGGGTTCAGTAGAATGTATATATGGGGGTTTCCCAAAACTAAGGGGACCCTTTTGGGGGTCCCAATAAAAGGATCCGATTATATTGGGGTCTATATTGGGGGTCTCCCATTTTGGGACATACGAATATGTAGAACTCAATCTCAACACAGCCAGGGGTGTTGAGAAAGCCCCTTTCCCCGTTTTGGGTTCTAAGTTCTTTATAAGATGAGCTATATTCAAAAGGGGGGCCTTACAGGATCCGAGTGGCTGACTGGAATCGTTCTGCAGGGCCCGCTAGCCCGCTTCTCTAATAACATTCCCCCTAGCAATTTATGATGAATACCCCGCAATATACTACTATTGCGTCACCTTGGGACTATTCGTCATTATGGGGTGGGGAGGTTTGTCATAAAAAATGTGGGAGGGGGATGATGTGTACCTGTCCGTGGCAACCAGAACCAGCCTTACCGGCATTTCACGAAAGTCAGTATCCACATCCTTCACCCTAATTCGGTGTTCAAAACAGTAAGCCTTCACCCTTTTTTGACTACACATGGGCAACCTTAATGGCCAGCTTACTAATGGGAACAACTTCAAGCTTGACGCAGAAATTGACATGATAACCTTGGCCAGAGCCTCAACAGGGTTCAGAGAAATGTACTTGTAGGCGAAGTTAACCATGCCTGATAATTCCGATTAAAAAGGCCTTCTAGCAGGGTTCCCCATGTTTCCCGTTTTAAATGTTGCAAACATAACCTTTTTGGGTTGTTAAAAGGGGCTCACAAGGAATTGGCGTTCCAAGCCTTATGCCCTTGGCTGGAATGTCGACTCGACGCCCAGAGCTTGCCAAAGAACGATTTAGGGTGTACTTGGAGGGTCCGGGGGACTTAGTAAGTAGGTTCATACTTGTGATAGCTGGGGTTACTATATGGGCCACTAACCTACTTACAAAGCTCCCCTGACCCTCCAAGTAGGGCTTAGGGTTAAAAGGAACCAGATGTGCCGTTTTATTTCATGATCGTTTTTCTACCCCTAAACCCTAAACCCCTAAACCCCTAACCCTAAACCCCGAAACCCTTAAACCCCTAAACCCCTGAACCCTTAAACCCATGTTGCAATACTATTTGCATCAGTGGTGTTGACTGAGGCATCTGCACCGATTTTGTCATGTAATGCGTCCAGAGGCCTAAACCCTAAACCCCGTGACCAGAGCGTCTGGAGGTGCAAGATGTTTGGAAACCCTAAACCCTAAACCACATTATGGGACCTACGGGGGTTTGTACTTCAGTTAAAATGGCCCTAAACTCACTACATCCGTATATAAACCCTGTATGAGCTATAGTCTATACTCCTTAAAGGGTGGGGGCTACATAGAGGAGTATTCTGGAGCCGATAAAGGGGGATATAAGGAGTTTGGACTATAGACCCATATAAAGGCGATGATATATACCCCAATAGCTTTACTCCTTGGAGGGGGTGATACAAGGAACTATATGGTTTAAGGTTCATCGAACTCCGTATAGAACCGTTAGAATTGTGTTAGCATCGCAGCCGTGAGTTGGCTCGCCTCAGTCTGCCAAGCGCAGGGGGCTTTAAGAGTAGGGCTCAGGGTTTAGGGTGTAGGGCCCTGCTGTCATCATTCATGCTTCCGTGCCCAGCCTACCTCTATTGCTGCTATCATATCAGTTTTGGTCGTTGATGGGTTTTGTTGGCGTTATTGTTACATCCTGCATCGTTGTCATCCTGGCATCTTGATGTGCAGTGTTGAAGTTCACGGACCCGCCCGAAATCCTGTGCCAACCTTACGCACAAGTTTGCGGAACTGCACATTGTCAAGACCAGTGGTTGCTGCGGGTGTTCTCTGTTATTTCAAAAGGCAGATATCACGCTTTGTTAAGCCCCCTTGCTTCCTTCAGCGGCACGGCCCTAGCCATTCAACGCTGGGAGCTCGCGCTCGCGCGGGGTTGGAGATGAGCCACTATGTTAGCGGCAGGCAGGGGTGAAGGGTCGTTTCAAAAGTAGGGAGCTTTTTAGTCAGGGTTGGCTGAACTCAGCTCACGCGATGATGCCATGAATCTGGAGTGGGTTTAGGGCTTCGGGGCTTGTACCCCTCTTGCAGCGAGGAGGAGGACTTCACATGTCTTGAGTTTCCTGTTTAGCCCGGTCATTCTCTGAATATTCTCTGGTCTTCAGAGTGTTCAGAAGTGAGGCCCAAAGAGTTAGCACCAACTCTCCTGAAAGTGACGATCCAAGATATGATGCCTCTTGGCATGCCCAAGGCTAAAGCCCATTAAAGCTGATAGACCTGTAAACTGTAAGCATCTGGGGGTTTCCCCAGATTATGGTACCCTTTTTGGGGGTCCCCATAATAAGGACTATAGTATTTTGGGGTCTATATTGGGGTCCTTTTTTTGGGAAACTACCATCTTCAATCTTTAGATTACTTCACGAACCCCTAGGCGGGCGCTTCCAGCAGTAGCGGTCCCCCTGACAAGTACCCCAAAATATTCTGAACATTGCTCGTGGGGCTCCCAAAACAGGATCCCCCAACCGTAACTCCAGCCCCCGATCAGCGTGGTTTCTATCACTGCCATGGTTGCTAGTGCCGCTTCTTGATACCACTAGTCGCTAGTCCCCTCGGCCCCATAACCAATCCGCGCACCCCTAGTTGCAAATATCCCCAACACTGTTATACAAGGGGGCCAATCTTTGCTTTGATGGCCAGGTGCCCGGCCTCTCTATTGAATTAGTACGCCTACTTTCTGTAAAGGCCCAATAACCCCGGCTGTTACAAGCTGGCTGTTACAAGACCCAAAACCCCAGTACTACCTAGACCTACTAAGTCAAGACAGCCTCAAAGTAGGGAGAGGGGATTCTCGTGATCAGGCAGTTCATCTTCGAGGAGAAGCCTCGTTGGATATTTCTGGGCCTGTCATATGATGGCACATACTCGGCTAGGTATTGAGTTTATAAGAAGGAGCACCAGACCTAACGATCAAAGTTACAAGGGAAACTATCGCGCTATTAATTGGGAAGGATGTATTCGATTTGATGCAGGGTTTTGATGAACGCCTGATTAAATTCACTTTTATGGAGTTGTATCTCACGCGAGCTATAGCTGGGTCCACATATTGGTCACAAAATGAGTCTACAGCTCCTGTGGCCCAAAGATGTCCAAAATACCGGTGTTCTGATGTCACACAATATGAGAGAGGGATTGTTTACAAAGCATTCCATTTTTTGCTTGTATGATAACACACCCTCGTAAGATCAAGCTTACTTGCATAGATACAGCCACACTTTGCAGATCTTTTCAGAAGAGCGCTGGAGGGACACAGGCATCAAGCACCTTACCCGTTTGGGGCCAATGGGGACATCATATGCCCAGTGCCATTCACCCCTTCCCTTGCGAAACACAATGGAGGGGCTTGCTGTCAGGGGAGGGGCAAAGCGCCTTAAACCCCAAACTCTGAACCCCCAAATGTTCGGGGAGGGGAAAAGGGCCTTAAACCCCTAAATGTTAGGGGAGGGGAAAAGGGCTTCGGGTTTGCGGGCTCTAAACTCTATCACCTACCGGTGCTGCAGGGACCCTAGTAGTACCATTCCACAACCCTAAACCATGGCCTTTTGGGCTTTTGGTTTGAGTTTAGGCTTTTTAACTTTAGGCTTCAGGGTTTAGGGAGAGCCCTTTGCTTCTGGGAAAAATGAGGGAAATCACCATAAAACATGGAATGGAGCTTG